CAAAAGTATTATACGGCTAAGAAGACTGTGCTAACGTCATCGGCGTATTATGCACAACAGAAGATGAAAGAACTAGACCTAGAGTTTCAGTCCTTTTAAGGGTTAATTACAGGTGGTCTATTTTTTTCGCGATCGATCGATAAGCGAGAATAGGAAACAACGTTTTTCAGCTAGAGTGGGTTTTCTTGCAGCATCGCGCAGCCGATAATCCACGCGAGTCTTTTGCTATTCATCGACAGTTTTTCTGCGTCTTGCTTTGCTGGTATTATTGCATTTAATGAGGTTCGCTTCGAAAAGCCGGATACCCCGTCACGCAACGATCCCCTTATTTTTTTCTCTCGAAAAACTTTTCGCAGTCGCTTACGCATTTCCCGCGCAGCGGATTTGCCCTGTGCATAAACCTGCCCGATGTGCTAGTTATGCCTGCCGATGCAAATTAGGCCTTTTCAGCGTCACTATTATTTTCACGCGCGCCCCTTGTCAGGGATGCTGACTAAATTATGGAACCCTGCAATTAAAGATGTTTTTTTTCTTCTGCCAGCTTCGCGGAGAAGGTCCCAGGTTGTTGACACGGCTCTGAATAGACTTCCGAAAAAAATGTGCATTTCAATCTGTTTGCTAATTAAACAAGCTGCAATGGATTATCGTCAGACTTTCCGAGAAAACGCATCATTATACCAATTCTTTAAGATCGTATAGGTATAAGGTATTAGTAACTTCATACGTTAGCTTAGGGCTCTGCATTCTCACAATTGCTCGAGACGACGGGACTTTGTATCCATTTTCCTCATTGGGAAAGCTCTCGCGAAGGTCTTCCTGAATCCGGTAAAAAATAAAGAAAGAGGCGAAGAAAAAAGTTCACGACCTTGTTTTCATTCAACGACTCCAATATCTCGCGGGATCGCCCGCTATCTTACTTTTCCGCGCGCTACTCAAAGAGATTACTTTTTTTTTCCCTCAACTGACAATCGGACTCAATGAAAACCGAGAGACAGCTAAAGAATGGGAAGGAAAAATGAGAAAGGCCATCGATCGATCGATTTTTTTTGTTCAAGTTTGACGATAATTCTTTTTCTACGGTGAGTTGAACTATCATGTAAGGGTAGATGCAAATCTCATAAAATGAAGTAAATTAGATATCGATAGATTAGTCCGTCAGTGTATGTTGGAATGTTGGAAAAGCGAGTTCAGCCAAGCATGAACGTTTTGATTTTGCGACTCTGTCAAGGTAAAAAGAAAAATAATAGAGTCGCACGCGCGCGGGGCTACGAAAAATTTCGGTCGAGCTAAAACAACATATCGCTTTTGTGGAAGGGACCTTCGTGAAAACAGGCGCCCCATTGTTGATGAGGACTGCGTGCGCGAACGCGAGCTGAAGCATATCCTCCAAAAGAGCGCCAGGCGCGCGAACAATTGTGTTTTGATTCTACGGGCCCACATTACAGCCGTTTAGTCGCATTTGCCTTCTTGACAAAGCGACTCGAATCTCATTTTTATGCTCTCTCTCTGCCTCTCTATCTATCTAGCCCTTCACATTGTCTACAATGCTCTCCTCTCTTTTCCGGTTCTATTATCTTTTTCCTATCTAATGCTCTTAGCATTTGGATTAAGAGAACAAAAGCTTAGAAAATTAATAGCGTACAATGAGAGCGAAATTGATTTCTCGTACATGCTCTTACAAATAAGAATAGCCTACTTGAAATGTCGGGATACATGTATAATAAATGATCTGAAAACAGTTTGGAAACGTGCAAAAGTGTGCGCTACTCGAACAAAGTTTCGTATTTCCTGAGCCGCGCGACTGCAACATGGCGCGTCGCGAAGCAAAATCGGAAAGCTTGGCCCATAATCCTTTTGGAAATGAATAATAGCCTCGCGGCAGCTATGCAAAACGAGAGCGTTTCGTTTTTCTGTGTGGCTTTGCGAGAGAAAGAGAGAGAGAGAGAGAGAGAGAGAGAGAGAGAGAGAGGGCACAAAACGCGAGCGCGTCAAAAACCGGCTTTGTGGGTGAGTTGGGCCCGTCAGCAGCAGCAGACAGACGGGGGCAGCGAAACTGAAAGCCGACGTGGAACGAGAGCGAGAGGGAGAGAAAAAGCTAACGAACAGATTTCTCGGATAGTTACGCGGATAATCTTCTCGACATATTGCGCCAAAGCCAAAACGGCGCACGCCTCGGCGAGCTTCACCTTTTCCCGTTGGCTGCGCACCACAGCAGCAGCACACTATATTCCGAAGCAGAAAATAGAAGGCGGTGGCGTGGCATCCCCGTTTCCTCCTCGAGAGATTCCGGTTTTCAACTTTTGTTTTCCGCCGCCGCGCCTTGCTTTCCTTTCTTTTTTTATCTTCTTTCGCTGAGCCACCAGCAGCCGACGACTCGAGGCTCGAGCATCGTGCGCCCCTCTGAGGTTTTTTCCTCGGCCGCAGACTCACTAACGCCGTTGCAGCCGTCGCTTCGTTTGTTCTTCGCTCGCGGAAAATGCCTTGGCGGAGGAAGTGCGCCTTCGGCAATCTCACAGGAGCGGCATGTGTTTGATTATTAACGCGTGAGGGTCGATACTTGTAAAGTCGGCTCGGCAGAAATCCTATTGCTGTTTACTATTATTAGCGCTATATCTGGAGCAGGAAGCGCTCTACGAGTGTCTGCGGAACCTTTTATTCTCTGTTCGTGAGAAGATTTTTCTCGAATCTCTTAAGAGAAACGAACAAAAAAAATTCAAGTAGCGCGATCGCCAATTTTTCAACAACGAAAAATTGCGACGAAATAATTTTTGAACGTGCACCCCAGAAAAAAAAAATCACACGGCAAATTGAAGCACGTTATGTTCACAGAGCTCAGTGCTCTACACCCCTGGTTTTTTAAAGCAAGAGCGTAAAGAAAAAAAATGCATGTAGCGGCAAAATGCCGAAAGGCAAACAGCCATAGAAAAATCCGTAAGCTACATCAGGTCTATTTAGTGCAGAAGAAGAAAAGTAAGTCCGTCAATGAGCGTATCATCCGAAAAGATCTGAGAGGGCGGCCGAATCGCCGTAAGTAGCGTCTCCATCGCAGTCGTGGATGCACAACAAAAACGTCTCAGCGAAAGCATACACGAGCGCGAGCGCACGGTTCAGCGCACACGCCACTCCGTTAAAATAAGAAATCAAGAAAATGGTAAGATGGGGAGGGCGAAAGGCGCGCTAAGGTATTTCCATCGCCGGATCCAGATATTTTTCCAGGCGACGAGTCGCCGGCGTGGCGAACAGTTCGCTTGCGGCAGTGGTAAAAAAGATCGGAGCTGCGCTTCGAAACGATTCAAGATGGAGTCAGAGAGTCAGGAGGCCATAAACGCATCTGCCCCATACGCGCGCTAGACACTGACAATGGCCGCGTCCCTTGCGCTCTCGCTCTCTCTCTCTCTCTCTCTCTCTCTCTCTCTCTCTCTCGATTTTGTTGGATAGCGAATTGTTATACCTGTGCCGCCCGGGTACACGCATCGGCGAATCACAACGGCTTCGCATTCGAATGGCCGACGCTTTATATATCGTCAGGCCCTTCAGGTTAATTTCGTGTCTCTGCTCGCCGCGTATGTATACGTACGCTTCGTTTATCATGCACGCATCGCGAGCGGATGAACGGTTTCGAGTACTTGGGTGCTGTGCGCGCTCTCGAGTGCAAGGATACGTTTTGGGTATGAATAAACGGCATGGTATTTCAAGCTTCCGCGGTTCGATTCCGCGAATTAATTCAGCCATTCAGTGCGATATTCTCTTGGCTACTGGCCGCTTACCCTCGTGACTTGTACGACCGATTGTGCATGTTGAAATTAGTAATGCAGCTTGATCGCTCACCGCACTGCAACTTTCCAAAGTAGCACGTTTACCGACACGCCCCGCATTATCCGATCGTCGTTACGCCTACAGATGACTTGATCTTCAAAATCAGTAAATAGCTGTGTACACGTATTTCGGTAAAATAATTTTTTATACAAGTTGTTGTTATACTTATTGAGATATCTGCCATACTACTACGATAAGTTTTTATTAAAATAAAAGGCTTTATACATGAGTATTGAATGACTTTGCACCCCTGTAAGAACGACGAGTATGTTTAAATTGATTACCATTATAAAGCCTATATATATATATATGTGTGTGTGTGTGTGTATGTGTTATCACAAAATCTTCAAGTTAAGGACTAAAAACGTGGAATTCAACCCGCACAGACATTCATCTGCAAAGCGGCTGAAAAATCAAAAGTCCAGAGCGACATTTTCCACACGGATAATCTCCCCCAAGTCATCTTGGCAAACATGAATCTCATCTTATCAAATGAAATTTCAACGAAAGAGATGCAGTCGTGTACTGGGATGTCTGGCGATAACATCTCGTTGGCTATGAACGTCATTCGCGCGAGAGAAGAGCAATTCATTAGGCAAATCTAGAGGCTGACGTTGGTGGCACAGCGCGTCCCCCCGCAGGGGGTTACGTGCATTAGCGAGAAAAAGACGCGAGCAGGGAGGGGAGGGGGGGAGACAAGGGGAATAAAGCGTTGAACGCGAGGGACGCGCGCGAAAGAGCGAGCGAGACGGAGAACAGGATCCGCCCTATTCGTGGAGGTAGGGGATGCTACGAGAACCAATCGACTGCGAGCAGCTTCTCGACAACAGAACGATAAAGCTCGCAACTTGCAGTAACATCAGTCAGAGTATGTTTGCAACTCGAATGTACAGGACGGCGATTTAGACCTCTTTCACAATATCCTTGATCGTAGCTCATTCAATATTTCGTTAGTTGTGTTCGCTTCGTCGTCAAAGAAACACGCAGAATTCTAGTCCTCAAACGTCAGCGCTTCGGACCAGGCTTTTTTTTTTCCGCCCGACAGTGAATGTTTCAACGCAGATTTATTTTGCAAGCAGGCGATTCGCAGTCTAAAAGTGTCGTGATTGAGAAAAACGGAATATTCAAGTGTACATGTGCCAACAGTTTGGCACCACTTTTTCACGCTGGCTCGTGGACAAATGATGCACAGACAAGAAGCACAAATGGGACATATGCCACACACACATTCACATTCGCAGCCTAAGATGCCGGCTTCGTCGAGTAAGAAAATATTGTTTCATACGAATATCTTTTCGTTTGTAGACTTCTTTGAAGTGCAGTGATACCGCTATTAGCTGCCTATCGCACATTGTTTTCTCTGGATTTTTTATTAAACTATAGATAATGTTATAACTAGTTCGTGTTCAAATTGTTTAATAGAATACGTTTCATTTCATAAACATATTTTTTTATTAATTATCTGTAGTTTTCTACGATTTCTCATTGACTAGAGGAAAATAAATGTTGCTGGTGCATCGCTTCCGTCGGGAAAATCAATTCAAAATTCTAACCATGGATTTTGCAGATTTTTCCTATAATCAACAACAAAAGTTAAGCGTGGAAAGATCACGCCTGTTCTCATTCTGCTCTGCCTTAATCTCGGTAGTACGGCTCATTTGATTGAGCTGAAAGAAATCGTCAAGCAACGAGCAGACAAATGGCAGGCTTCGGTATACCTGCTGCATACCTATCAAATGCTGAGTATTGTATAATGGCCGGAAAAGCAGGGCGCCGACGTCCCGCTGTGCCAGATCATCATAATTTCCATCATTCTCTTTCAACGCCCTCATAATTAGTCCTTATCGCATTAACACTCCTTCGATATGTGTTAAAAAAACTGATACTTGTAATCCATACATTGCTTTCACTTCAACTGAAGCTACGTAATGAAATGTAGATTTCGTATGAATTTTATCTATGAATTTTTAGGTATGAATTTTGTTCCAAGCGTCTAATAAAAATAAATTATCTATAACATATGAAATGCTCGATTAGGTCGCATCCTGCTGGACGTGCCGTGCAAAGTGTGCCGAGATCACTCATCGGGTAAACATTACGGTATATATGCGTGCGACGGCTGCGCTGGTTTCTTTAAGCGCTCGATCAGACGCAACCGACAGTACTCGTGCAAGGCCAAGGCCGAGGGTGGCTGCATGGTCGACAAAACGCACCGCAATCAGTGCCGTTCCTGCCGTCTGGCCAAGTGCATACAAGCTGGCATGAACCGTGATGGTATGTTTACTTTTTCCCGTTATCTTTATGTGTGTGTGTGTGTATTATATATAAATATCCCCCCTCCCCTACATCCATGGGTCAAATGCTCTTTGTTCTTGCGATTTCAGCTGTCCAGCACGAACGTGGCCCAAGAAACTCAACGTTACGCAGGCAAATGGCAATGTATTACGGCGGTAAGGAAACGGAGATATTGCCCACGATTGTGCCGCCGTCGAATGCAGCTCTCAATCTTGTGTTGCCAAAAACTACTCCAGAACCGCGGGTCACAACTATTCCAGCGCCGACAGCTCACATCGCTCATCCGATCTACGCTACCATAAGCTGTCCTCCATTGAAGGTAACAGATTTTATTTCTTATTTTTGATATAACTGAATTGCAATAAAAAATGATGAAGTCTAAAATCTGCATTACATATACAGATAAGTTCGCCCCAAGCCTCGATCTCGCCAGTACCCCTCGCATTCCCAATCTCGATAGGTGAGACTATAGCTGAACAAGCAGCTCGCCTACTTTTTATGAATGTCACGTGGGTACGCGATCTAAACGTCAACTCAGGTCTTTGCATGGAAGACCAGCTGACCATTTTAGAAGCGTCATGGCGGGAATTGTTTCTTCTGTCAACAGCTCAACAAGCACCACATCTCGATCCGAGTCACCTGCTATTACCAGGTATTCAAACTATTCCTTTAGCAGTTGAAATCGCCAGATTCCGTGAGGTCGTAACCTCCTTCCATTCGCTCAACCTTGACACTCAAGAATACGACTGTGTCAGAGCAATTGTCCTGTACAAAGCTGGTCTTGACTGTGACTCTGTGTCCAGTAGTCGTAGCAGCAATGGTTCTATATCACCAAATAGTTGTAGACTCAAAGACACTGCTTTAGTAGTCAAACTCAGAGATAATGCTCATACTGCCTTGGGAATTAAAATGGAAGTGATGACCCATACAGGTGCTATGAGGTTCAGTAAACTCATCCTCATGCTGCCATCGCTTAGAACAATATCCTGTCATGCAATCGAGGATTTCTTCTTTAGAAGAACAATCGGCTTTACGCCTATCGACAAGATCATATGTGACGTATATGCCAAGACATAGCAACGAAGATAAACTCCAAGAATAGATTCGTGCAAAAAAATTTGTTGTATACATTCAATTTACCGAGAGATGGTACTCAGCTAATGTTTCTCTAGCGAGTGGAGCAAATTATGGGTGATAGTAAACTATATTATGTTAATGTTATTTGTACATAGAATATAACTAATTGTTATTTTGAAAATTGTATAAATTATACTTCAAAGAAGTTTGCTACGTAATATAGATAATGGAGTAAAATTACGACATTGGAAAAATCTGAAAGAAAATAGAAATAACTGCCTCTCTGTGTATATGTGTATTTAATTTATTATTCATTTTGTATAAAAAATACAAAAATGAAAAGAAAACAGAGTAAAACAATTTTTTTTACAGTTATATAATTGTAAAAAAATTATGAAATTTACTAAATAAAATTTGTATTTTAAATAGGTACATTTTTATTTTAAAAAAATATTACAATTTTAATATTTTTTTAAAAATTATCAGTATTTAATTATTTATCCAATATATGCCTTACAATTCTTAAACATTTCACACAATGATCAAAATATTAAGGTAGAGTAAAAAAAAATAATTTTTCTTATTATCCCTCTTTATCTATCAAATTACGTTACTGCAGTAAAGCCAGAATTTCTAAACCAAAATTCAAGTTTGATCATCACTTAAACAATAACAAAAACAGCTTTGGTTTGTGGTAAGATTTCATGAGCCTAAAAATTAAAAAAATCTCATAAAAATATTAAAACAGTTTTAATTATTTGAATAATTAAAAATCCGTTGTTATTATTAACACCAACATTGATGATACATTAACAAGGTGGGCAAATAAATTCGAGCCACTTAATATTAAAATGCAAGTGAGTGGCTTAATGCAATGCTCTCGAGAGCCACCCAGAACAATGAATGACGCTGTCGTAGGCTGAATAGGTACACATTCACATGGTATGTATGACATACTCCCATAGTCATGTTACACAGTAACATTTTTCGACCTTGAAGGATAGTCAGAAAATCTTCACCGATATTTCAATTATAAATCAGCAATGAAGAAAAAAATGGTCCAGAAGATTTATTACTTGGAAAAAAACTCGATTTGTTTAGGACGCTTGAGTCTTTAACCAAATATTGCTCGGACATAAACCGCACGCAACAATCGAAGCAGCATAGATCGACGATAAGCCCTGAAAAATTTGAAGGCGAAGAACACATATAGATATAGACAGTCGGGAAATCCGCGTTCGACTTCGTATACCTGAGAAGCAACAATGCTTGCGCTCGGCATTTTCACGGTGATTTGCGGGGTAATCGCCGTACAAAGGATGAAAACTCGGGCTTCAGAGATGAAAAGTTCTGTGGGCCAGAAGCAGCGTGTAGTAGCTCGCGTGAGAGAGAGAGAGAAAAAAAAACTGTGCTCCCTTTCTCCCTCACTCTGCCAGGGGGTAAAATAATCGTCTTCCGAAGATGTGCGCGAGCGAATACAATTTTTTTTTTTCTTCCACGATATTGTGCCGCTGTTCGAGACACGCATACGCTCAACCACGCACACTTATGTTATATAGACGTAAGCGGTGCGTTACGATCGAAAGAGAGGCGGTCTTTTGTCGACATTTGTCACGGCTACTTGGCAAATCGGTTCCCGCTCGTTTACTCGCACAATACTATATATAGACTCTGTGTGTATTTAGCCCCCGCACGACGACTCCAACTTTTGCCGACTTCATTATTATTGAGAAGGCCTTTTCGACAGTTGATTGTCCTCGTGGAATAATATTTGCATAGGAGGCGTTTTGATTTTTCTTTATGAATGATGATTCCTTATACGATCATGATTTCTTTTTTTTTTTATTTGTGCTCGACGAACTTGTCTTTGATTTTGATTATTCAGTGCTGTTCCAGAAATTTGTCAACCTATTAAATTAAAGAATAAAAAGTCTTTCGGTAGTTATGACATTTAATAGTGAGTAATTTTTCAAAGGTATCGCATAAATCTCGTCCATTGGCATTTTTATTGATGCGGGAAAAAAAAGCTATCACTACACCGATGCAAGACTGAATAAATAGGAGATAATTTGCTTTGACCATAGTTATAACGTTTTGAGTGTTAACTCTTGTCATGCACGACTACGACTATACTTTACTAGCGTTAACACTTCCCTTACAATTTTCTTCTTTCTAAAATATGAACTACAATAATATTTTATATTGCATGAATTGAATTACATTTATTTTAAATGATTTGAAGATTTTACTACAAAACATACGAGTTTTTTTACAAGAAAAAAAATCCAACTATTTTTCACTTTTTCTAGCAATGGACGACAAACTCACTCAGTTAATAATAAGTCGGGTGACAAAGAAAAGGTGAGCGCACGCCCTTTCCGTTGTGCGGTAAGAATCGAGCAGCATCAACTCCCCGCTGGGTTACGAGTGACGGATTTGGCGACCACTGCATTATGCGCTGACAAATTACTCGGGTAAACAGTCCGCCCCGCAGTGGAGATATAATATATTGAGACTTTCAATACTGCCGGTGCCGTTGATCCATCAGTAACGATGAAATTTTAAAAAGTCATCATCGCAAACTCATGGACTTTCTTTATCTGATCATTCAAGAGGTCAACGTCTTCTGCTTCATACCGTTGTAAGCTTTGAGGAGTCGGAATAGCGATTCTCATACGGGTAAGTACGAAGTGAGTGCTCTGAGCTACATATTTTGTTTACTAAAAGAGGAAGCATTGTTTACGCAATTTTCAAACATCTTTATTTCATTCTTACTTATATGTTTACATGATTTTTGTTCAATTTTTCTTCTGCAGCTGTATTGAAGTGTATTGCGCCGAAATTATGATATATTGTCATTTTATTTGAAGTATTTGTTTGAGTCTACAGTAATTTTTTTTGACCAACGCTCCTTTATTCTTATTAAGGTAATCTTGCGGAAACTTTGTCCATGTAGTTAGTAAAGCTGTATCCATGTATCATTTTATTGGTCTATATATTAGTTACTCTGTATTATACAAATTTTATACTTTTATATTACATTTTAGCGAGTGTTGTAGCTCATGATAGACAATGAGAAATTTTTAAATACATTTTAATTATACATTTTATACATATCGGTTGGACGGAAAAGGTTGGTTGTTTCGGTTCAATTTTTTTAGAAAACTAAAATAGGGTGTACGCTCTTATTCTGGCTAATTTTAATTAATATTTATCGCGTAAAATCGGAAACGATTTGGGTCCATCACCGTGAAGTAGATTTTAAAAATAATGCAAATTTTAAGTTCAATAGTTTAGCTTGTAAAACATAAACATTTTTTTTATAAAGAGGATAATATATCTACTCTTATGTCATTTGACTTGATGAATCTGAATCTGCAGTTATCGCCATCGTAAGTAATTTTTTTTAATCGTAAAAAAATATTCAAATGTCGAGCATTTAAAAATGTTATTATTATTTCGCAGTTAAAAAATGCTTAATAAAATAAAATTTTCTGTGATAAAAGTTAAGTACACATGATAATCGAAAGTTACAATTTTGTTCTTTTCAAAAAATCTTACATAAAATATTACATTTTGTAAAGATGTAGTATAGTACGTATCTTTGATAATAATGTAAATTCAGAACTAAAATCACGTTATAATTTTTATCCGTAACTAATCTGTTCTGCCTACATCTATGTCTATTTTTCTTCTCCATTTTTAAAATTAACATTAGTATTTCGAGCGCTACTACTAACTCTACCCTGATTTGATAGGTTGATTAGTCTCTACTGCACTTGTTGGTTCCAAATACATGTATTCTTGTCTAGTTTGACTCGCTGAATTAAAATCTGAAGTCAGAATTGTGTTGTAATTCTTTTTTTTTTATAATTGCAAAATAATACATTTTTAAAAAATGCCAGGAAATTTAGTATTTTTTTTAAATTAAAAAAATGACCTACAATGGCGTAATAACTGCAGATTCAGATTCATCAAGTCAAATTACAAAAGAATAGATTTACACTATTTATTAAAAGAATTTTTATGTTTCTCAAGCTTAACTATTTAATTCAAAATTTGTATTGTTTTTAAAATCTATTATTGTATTTAACATCTATTTCCTGACATGAAAATTCGACTTGCAGGTAAAAGATTTTCATTCAACGAAGCAGTAATTGCTGCGACAAATAAGCATTTTGAGGAGTTTAATAACAATTACTTTTCAGAAAGCATAGGAAAGCTTGGGCACCGCCATAATAAATGTATATAGTTAAAAGAGAACTATGTCGAAAAATAAATTGGAATTAGTTGAATAAATAGTGGTATTTTATTTAAAGTCACGGACTTATTGAACGACCCTCGTGTACATATATATGTATTTATATGTACGTGTGCGCGCACACACACATGCACACACCAATTGCTTGCAGCTAATAAAATAATTTAAAAAGTGTCTTTAGGGACTTGCAGTCTACTTGCATGTCAATTTTAACTTTTTTGAAAGGAGAAGGGGAAGTTAAATCATACGCTATCGTCATGCAATATTCAAAATGGCGAAAATGGAAAATGCTGTCGGCTCCATATTTTGCCAACTTGTACATAAAAGTCGAGCGATTTGAAAAATTACATGATTTGCCAAGACAAATGATAATAATAAATATTGCAATCAATTCTCCTGCCAAGTATTTCGATTTTTTTCATTGTCATTTTGAACAGTTTTAAAAAATTTAACAAAATGATACACTGCGCGCTATAATCTCGATAATTATTTCTTTTCTTCTGATTTTGCTCTAATGGCCCCACTGTTTGCGACCAACGCACCTTATAGTGGTCATCCCTACCAACGTGATATAGGAATGCTTCTCACATTATCTAGACTTTTATTAAACATGGGTGTTTTTTAGTATCAAGTCGATGTGTTAGCTAACGTTTTCCTATTTTCCCCGAAAAATATCATTATCGTATTGTCGTATTCGGAAGCAGCGATACGATTGCTTCCAACGGTGACCTCGTCTAAA